TTATTCTGCTGGAGTCAATCGATGCCATCATAGGACGCTGAATGCCGTGCTCAGAGAGTGCCTTTGCGGATAAGAGGATTTGATGTTTGGGAACCAAAAAAGTCAGTGGGTGCCAAATCAGGGTAGGGTGGTGGATGGATGACCTATTCATTTGATGCTTTAACCGGTCAAGTGGGCGGTTGTTTACGGCGAAGTGTGAGAGCTTGCATTGTTATTGCGAAGAGTGCATCACTCAGAAGTTATAGGTCTACTGTTATGTAGGGAAACTTTTCCCTCTATAGCCGTTTTTCCAAAAAAAAAAACAACAGGCGACCACACACTTCGATTGAATTCTTCAGCAATTTTTTCGCTCTACCTTTGTTTAACAATTGTCAAACTATCCAAAATTCTACGTAAACACATTTTCTACCGCCAATTTTTCTGCAGTATTGTATGAACCAATGCTCGCTCTTTAATGTAAAGTTGGACGTTACTCGACAGCCAAATTAAAATGCCAGTTGCCCAATCAAGTATTAAAACTAAAATTCATTAGTGAAGGAGAGTTTATTGGAATTTGAAGGCGGTAAATTTATTATGTAACGTCGGGGTTAGACACAATTTTCAATTCACTGCAACCACCGTATTAGAAAAAAATTTCGAGTTTAACTTAAATTTCAAACTTCCGAACTTATTGTTGGCAAGTGCTGCCGATTCGCAAATTTTACGAAATATTCCTTGTTAAGAAAAAGTAGCCGAACTCGACGGAAATTGATCTCGGAAACGCCCACAGAAATGACAACTGAACTGTAGTTTTAACAAAAGTGCTGCGTACACTTTTGGCTTCGGCCGAATATTAATAAATTTCGTATATTCGACTTCTACATCGACAGAAGTACCAACTTCATTCGGACTCGTAATATTTGCCTTAAGTAATTATGTGCACTTCAAATAACTCTATTAACATTGCTAGCAAATTGACAATTCATTTGGCGCATCGTCTAATTTTCACATAGATGTTGAATTTCTGCGAGTACATTGTATATATGTACATGTGTATGTATGTATGCATGTGGTACATCGAGTTAACAAATTACTTGTTGATTTATGCAATTATGATGTTTAGCCGGTGAATTTATTTTTACCGCCTTTAAATTTACAAGTCATTAGATGTCGTTGAATGAAAAATTCAACACAAAATCTAGGCTTTTTTCTAAACTTGAAAGCAAGTTTTTTTTTTTTTAATTTACTATTTTTAATACATTCCGTTTAAGCTCTACTTAACACTTCTATACATATTGTACTCATTAATGAAGCACACTTTAAAGCACCAATTTGGTGTATTAGTCATTTGGAAAATCGGGCACTTCTAAAAGTACCGCATCACCATAATTAGTATAGGTAAATATTGAAACAATACAAATGTATGTACATACAATAAAATATGCATTTGTATATATGTATGCATACATACATATGAACGCTTGCGAGTCAATACGTCAATGCAGGCGACATCAAAGGTTATTTTGGCGGGGATGCACTGTGCATAATAGATATTCTTCTTTTTCTTTTCTCCTTATTCTGTCTATGACTGAAACTTCTTTGATTTTTTTTTTTTGTTTCGCTTAAGACCAACAAAAATGAAGACCACAACAAAGGTGCCGCTTTGTCGTTTTTATTTATATTTTTTGTCGATTTGTTAGTGGAAGGCGTCATAATTTTTTTTCCATCTCTTATCTGAATTATAGTTGCAGTTGTAAGCAAATTAATTCACGAACACACTTACATACATATGTTTATATATATATATATATGGAACTATTATACATACTTATAGATATTAACGGCTAGGACTTCTTATTTGTTATATTACATAGGATCAATTCTAATTTTCGGATTATCCGACATGCAAGGNATTTTTTATATTACATAGGATCAATTCTAATTTTCGGATTATCCGACATGCAAGGAATTACATATATGCACGCATCTTTTGTTTTTACCTTACTTTTATTAATTTGACGTGCAACAATGTAACTGATGACATTTTGAAATGCATTCTCTTGCTGTAAGTATAAACATAAATATCTGTGCGTGGTCAAGAATAATTTTTCTTTCAAATTAAGNGGTTTGAAATGCATTATCTTGCTGTAAGTAAAACATAAATATCTGTGCGTGGTCAAGAATAATTTTTCTTTCAAATTAAGCGGTTTTCGTTGAATATTACGGAGTATTTTCACTTTTTTTCTTGCACATATGTATGTATGTACGGTTGAGAGAATGTAAATTGGGAAGAGACGTTTTAGCAAGTTTTGCCTATTTTCTATGTTTTAAAAATTTAAATCACAATTTTAAACTTTCTAGAACATTTACGTATAAAAATTCTACGAATTTTATCAATTGAGCCGCTTATTTTGAACGTGGCATAAGTCACTTCACACCTCTTGTACTTAAATGACTGGTTACTTGTATTTGGACTCGTCGGTTATTTTTTCATTTACATCAACCAGTGCCGGTTTAAGGGCAGGGCCGACGGGGCCGTGGCCCAGGGCCACCACATTTAGGTTGCTCCCATATGTGATGACAAGATTACAGAAAAGATCGTTGGCTGTTAAGAAGATTTGTCAGCACCATCAACACATCTTGCGGAACCTAGCTTAACTTCTTCTGACTCTGGTGAGATTCTCGACTCACCCAGCAATGGAAATTTCCGTGGAATGCTGGAACTAATAGCTCAGAATGACCCCCGGACATATCTAAATATCCGAAATAAGGAACGATGGCGCGTGAATTATTTATCAACAACCTGAGAGAAAATTATAATTTTGAGAGGTGAGAAAGTACAGGCAGAAATAATAAGCCAGATCAAAGAGACTAAATATTCGTACTATTGCATCTCTGTTCATAAACGAGACTGCCGGGGTCAGTCGTTTAATACAGCATGCAACATTAGCGGCAAGTACAAAGGAGTTCAGGAGAGAATTAACGATACTGTTAAATTGAAAATATAATTTGTTTTTTTTTTCATTTAATTGGATGTAATTTTTAACTAAAAAACGGGTCCGCCCCCACATTTTTAATCTGGCCCTGACATCAACCAAGGGTAAAAGGTTTTGTCATTACCTTATGATTATAGAAAGATTTTAACTCATTTACGTACAAGAGGTATGATTTATGCCATTTTCGAAATAAACGGCTCAATTGCTCATCAAAATTTGAAACCTTTTTATCAGATTTTTTAGAACTTTTTTTTTAAGTAAACAATTTTGTAGCTCATTAAACTTTAGTGCAATAAAGTGCAATTTTAAGTAGCCACGACTTTCCGTTGATTTTTGGCAATTGTTTGTTCACACATTTTCTTACATACAAAGAGTATGTTTGACATTTTTCTGTATGGAGAAAATGAGCAACACCTTCAGTACACAGAGTGCACAAATAGTNGCATTTTCTTCCATACAAAGTATCTTCGACATTTTTTTGTATGGAGAAAATGAGCAACACCTTCAGTACACAGAGTGCACAAATAGTGACGCAAGAGTTCGTGCAGAAGAGCGAACCACAATTATGGTAGTTTGTACAGGTCGTACGTACGGATCCCTTGACTTCGCATCCATAGGTGAACTATGACAGCCATGGCGACCTCGATCCGAATCAAATGCTGGTTGATAGATAGATATTAAATGGGGGATGCACTGCAAACTTGTAATTTGTTGCACCATCCACTCATCACAAAACATATTTTATGCCTATCATAACCAGAACGTTTAGAAGAGCTTTGGAAGTAAGGAGAGTATATGTTCTTCCTTTACTACTCACTCAATGCCTCGATGCGGCATACATACATATGGAGCACGCATGGAGCAGGTACAATTGTGTCTTTTTAGTTCAGTCGCAAACAAGACAGAGATCATTCGACCAGATTCCCAACATACGAGCTCAGCAGTGCCCCGTCAGGACTCCTGTAATGATCCGTTGTTTCTCTTTTGGGAGGTTAATTAGAAGTTCTATTATAGTATAACTAATATTCTCTACTTCTTTTGTTTGTGTCTATTGCAAGAAATTGTTTGAGGCCTATTGGGGCTGAGGAAACCCCAATCCGAGCCAAGCCATTCCCACGTATTCCGTTGCCCGGCCGTTGGACCAAGACTAAAAAGCTTCTCCAATTTTCTATCTCCTGTGCGAATTCGCACCGGTTGCTCATCCCGAGTGCAGACAGGTCCTTTGTTCTCATGCGTCTTTGCTTTCGTGGTCTACCCATGGGTGCGGAGTGTCACAAGCGGAGTGCCCAAGCCAGCACAATCGCTGTGTTTTTATGCGCTCTAACAGTTCATCATTCCATCTTCTCCGATACCCATCCCCCACGCGATAATGACCGTAGATTGTGCTTAGAATGGTTCTCTCGAAAGTACCCATAATATTCCGAGGCTTTTTTAGACTTTTCATTGGGACCTATTTTTAAGTGGCGGGCGCACAACCCATTGCTGGGAGCTGAGATTTAAACTCTCCATTTTCCTGGACGATAAATCAAGGTGCAGAAGACCTCTCTACGCTTGGGAAGAATATCTAGCAAAACTTCGCAAAGGAGAGAGAGGCAACTGGCGAGACTTTTTAAACTCGTCCCCAACCGACAGGCATTTGATGTCCAAATGAGAGTAATAATATAATGGAAGTAATATCCAATTAAATGAAAAATGTCACATTGAGTGAAGAAATTTATTTTTAACCAATAAATCAGCTGTTGATAGCGACGCTAAAAAGACTTTCTGACAGGTATTAGACCAAAATTGTTCCCAAGTCGCAAGTATTAGGGTAGCTAAATAATCANTAAGGACTTTCTGATAGACCAAAATTGTTCCCAAGTCGCAAGTATTAGGGTAGCTAAATAATCAATGAATTTCAAAGCCAAAACATGTCTCTCTGTAGCACTCTTCAAAATAACTACATATTTGTTTAAATTATTTAAAATCAAATAAATTCGATGTGTATTAAAACAAAATATTTCGTCTTATTCTTTTCATTACAGATGCATACACAATATGGAACTTGCGATTTGTAAAACAGAGTTGCCAACTACCAGATTTATGCTACCAACTTCACCGGCCGCCTTCTATCAGAAGAATAACGCTCACTTCAGTGAGATATTAGGTTTCAATACAAATTATTTATTTAATAAAAATAATACAAGCAATTGTAATAGTAGTGACAATCATAATAACAACAACAATAACAACAGTCATAATAATAGTGCCAGTGTTAGTGCTACGTCTAGTCAAATCAATACTAATCAAAATATTAGTGTTAATAACAATAACTCAATTTTGAGCAATAGCAACAACAACAACAATAACAACACCAACAATAGCAGTATGCGCCTGAAAAAGAATCGGAGAGTGACTTTCCTGAAGAATCTGATTGAGGTGAGTGTGCAACTTGGATGTAAGAAAAAAATTCCAAATAAATAAGTAATACCTACATACTATACAATTTTTAACACAAAGCCAAAACATCTTATCAAAATGCATGCACACATTAGTCAATTTTGTATTAAATATGCAACGAATGTTGTCAAAATTTGCATAATTTGCTTTCTATACATTACACTTTACTGTATTCAATACAATAGGGGCTTTCTTATTTGTGTGGAATTTTTTTCGCTAAATATTAAAATACATTTTTGCAATTTTTTGCAAGTAAAATATTATCTCAAAAATTTAAATAACTCGGGAAAAGCTTTCGAAGTCGCAAAAAAAGCATTTTGCTCTTACATAAGCTGCCTTGAGTGGGGCTAAGGTTATCTTTTTCAGTTTGTTGTACTTGTGGTTCTGCTGCCGGCTGGCGAATGGTTTGTATGAGTAGCTTTTTCACGGGTTTAGGTTTGATTCAGACTTAAAAGTACAAACCTTTAGATTCATAATTTCAAAAAGAAACTTTTAGATCCACCCTAATGCATCTAGAGAAGTTTGCACTTTTAGTTATTTAAGTGATACGTACTGTATACTTCATTAGTCTATATGTATGTAATAATTAATTTTGGCTCGTTTTGTGACAATGACTGCATTTGTTCTTGGCATAAATATCTGTGTCCATAATTTGCGTGCAATGTGATAGCAATTTTAAAATATACATATGACTGACCAAGTTTGTTATCTTAAATTGTTCTCTATTGTGTGCTAAGTAAATAAAAAATAATAATTATTTGGCGCTCGCATTTTTGTGAAGTCTACGGCCGAAGCCCAACTTATTCTCCGATTGATGAATTAGCGTCTTGCTAGTGCCATACTAGAAAATAAGCTTATAGTATACCTTCGTCTCTGCAAGGCAAATGATTTTACTTTGTCAAACGAAAGCTCTTTTACTTCTAAAGAAAACTGTCAACTTTTCATGTCCGAAGTAAGAAGAAAATCTCAAAAATACCTAAAATACCTAAAATATAGCCTAAAAATAGCTGGAACTTATTTACCCAGGTACGATATCCGTATTATAAGACAGGTAGCCGTGTATAATTAAAGTGATAATGTGGAATAGAGAAACAAATCGTCATGAGGCTAAAAGTGTCTTCGTGCTTCTTGTATGGGAACGGCCATCTTATCTAATTTAACCTAACCTAACAACTACTTCAACATTTACTGCCAAAACATTTGAATGGTTGATAGTATCAAAAGTAGGAATTTAAAATACCTAAAAATAAACTAGAATACCAGTATTTTATTGCTGCTTATCTAGAATCAATCAAATGACTTTCGAGTAATTTTTGATATCAAAACACCTAATACCGTTCCATTGATTGTGAGTCAACGCCAGCAACAGAGAAGCAGTTTTTAAAATTTACATAAGACTATTTCTCTAATAAAATTAGACCTTTTACATAAATTAAGAACCTTAAGTAGTAGCAAATGCGATTTAACTCTCCACTATAAAAGGAGTTGTTGGAGATGTGTACTACCTCTTCTTAGTTTTTTTTATTTGTTATTACCACCGGTTATTGGTCTAGGCCGAGAACAAGAAACATTACCTTTTGCCTCTCTTCTTTGCCAGTTACTCGCCGAGAGTTTGTACAGGTCCTTTTGCAGGCGCCCTTACTTTCAGTTTTGCGTGTAAACGTATCCGTTTAGGTAAAAATTTGCTTCATCGCTTTTGTTTTTTTTTTTTTAAAAATCGGCGTCATCACTTTAACGCGCAGAATTGTAGCGGATGACAGTAAAGCGGTCGTCGGTTAACCGCTTTCAAAATTAAAACTCACAAAGGCATATAGAATAGCTCATTATTGCGGCGGGGGAATGGGCGCGATACCGACTAAGTTGCCTTTGGCGATTAACCCATTAAAGAAAGTGTTTCTTTTTCAACTGTAATCAATTATTTAAATGTCGTGGAATATTCAGGTGAATGTATCTATCATTTATTTGTTACTTTCCTATTTTATTACCAAAAAATTTACTTTAAAATGTAGATGCTAAAGATTATTAGTAAAAAAAGTGTGAGTACCGGTCCGTCAGGTCTTGAAATACGACGAATGTTTTAGAGAATTTCATGTAGTTTTCGAGTATATAATTTAATCTTTGCACGCGACTTTGCAAATATGTGTAATTTTTGATTTTCAGCTTATTTTTGTATAATTTCGCGAAAAGAATTTTTCGAACAATGAAAAAATTTCACTAAACATTGGGAAAAACGAGTATTTATACCTAAGTCAATTTATAGTACAACCTTTGTTTTCTGAGAGTGGAGAGGAGGTCGCAAAAATTAACTAAAATTCCATCACATTTAATGACTGGGCCCCCATTTTTATGAGTTTTGGACGGCATAGTGATCCAATGTTCCCCATATTTTATATTTAGGGTTTTCTAATAAAAGAGAGATTACAAACTAGATTTCATCGAAATCGGATGAAATTTAATGTTTCCGCCCACATCCATTCCATCTTTACCAAATTTCATAATTCCCTATTTCTAAGTAAAACTAGAGCACATGTCAAGTTTCAGTGAAATCGGTGCAGGTGTACTATTATTTCCACCTGCCTCCATATAGTCGAAACACTGTGCGGCGCGGAGAATTCCTTCCCAATTTAGATGGAATATAAAGTTGTGCTGACCATCATTTTACATAGCCGTATTAGTTTCGCAGGCATTCCAAATTTAAACATGATTGTTGATCCAGCTTCTCTTCGTAACTAATGTCTTTTCCATGATTTGACGCACTGAGTAAATATTGCAATCGTTAATTTACCAAGTCTATAGCTACACTGATTAGGTTCAATCAGTTGTTCCAGGAAAGACCTCAGTTTACTTACTTACAGTATCGCCGATAGGACCTTATATACATCACTATGATAACTTAACCCTCGGTAATTAGCGCAAACAGCAGGATCTTCCTTCTGATGATTTGAGCTAAGTAGTTACACTGAGCTTTCCTTCTACGGGCAGACCAAATGCTGCTAAAAGGCTCCGAAAAGCTTTTTCGTCAGCTCCAGGCACTTCGTTGCTTTCAAGCCGCATTATTGCCGTTCTCACCGCATATTGGTCAAGTGGAGGAACGTGAGCTTGGCCCGTAAAGATTTCAATATTATCGATCTCATTTTAATGTGTGCTTAAATATATGAAGCTGTCCTATCTCTGCCTATGTTTGGGTGCCATATTTAGATAATAAATACAGTGAAACCTCGATATAATGAACCGTTGATAAAACGAAAAACCAAATCTTTGCTAAGTACCCTGAAAAGACCCCGTTGTTTCTCCATAGATATTTATAACGAAGAAATTTTGAGCTTAAAATGCTTCGGAATATATTGACGGCTAAAATCCCGTTGGCAAAAGTCTCTATGTAACGAAGCGTCGAACCGAAAGCCTCTACATATCGAATTCTGAATATGTTGACGGTAAAAAAGCTACTACATAACGAAGTCTCGACTTAAAAGCCTTTACAGCGCGTATTTTGAATATGTTGACGATTAGAGTTCCGCTAACAAATAAAAGAGACCATACTTTTTTTATTTACATTTTTACATTTTTAATTGTATCGAGGTGTTGATATTCTTTTGATAAAAATAAACTATAAAAAACATTTTCCAACTTCGATTTGGTTATATCAACATTTCACTGTGGTACAAATTTTTGAAAAACTACGACTCTCTTATTTCTGTCAGTTAAATCAATGAAATTACGCCTTCAATCGCTTCCATTATAAATTACTTTGATTTATCATATTGCTCGATTATTTGCTGTCGTCTTCCGCTGCGTTTGCATAAAGTTCACATTTGAATATGTAAGATCAGAATTTATGTACATACATATATGCTGCTGCTGAAAGAAGCCATTCGTTGGCGCTGGCAAAGCTACTGCATTAGGCATTGAAATAATTGTAGAAACCACACGCTCCCACATAGATATGTATGTTCATATGCACGCTTATTTATTAATATCCTCTTTTGCGGGCGTATGCTTTGGAAATAAACGTGTGCCTTAGCATATTGGCCATGCCAGTCACGTTATTAGCCAGATTTGTGCAAAGCCAAATGCAACTACATACATACATATATATGTATGTATGTGTATTTGTATGTATGTATGTCTGTTTATTATTGTTGTTGGCTTTCGTTTAAAGTGATCATCAAGCAAGCGCATACAAATAATACTAAGTATGCAAATAAACAACGTATATAGTGCTTATCATAACTATACGACACCCACATGTTGAGAAGTGTACACTATTTATTTGGTTATTTTTTTATAAAAAAGCAAAAATCCCAGTTTCAAACTTGCCCCAAAAATTAAAAAAAAAAATCAATAATTTTCATAAAATTTTCACACCTTTTAATCAGCTTGTTTTGGCACCCAGTTTTTTTAAAGCCCATTGAATTCTAGTGAAAAATGCAAGTTTAAAGAGGCTACAAAATACCGTTGATTTATGGAAATTTTTTAATTTTTTTTTTTTGGCTGTGTCACTCATTTTCTTCCATACAAAGTATTTTTGGAAATTTTTTTATATGGAGGAAAACCCACGACATGATCTAAAAAACCAAAAAAAAAAAAAAAATGCCAAAAATCGACGGCATTGTGTAACCTCTCTAAACTTACACTTTACTATACGCACATACTTAATTGAATGGGCTATAAAACTGCATACCCAAAAACGTTTGAAATATTCTAAATAAAAAGCGTGAAATTTCGATACAATGTTGTTAATTTTTATACAAAGTTTTAAACTTAGATTTATAGGATTTTTGTTATAGAATAATCTGTAACATCTTCATAAAAAAAAATATTAAAATTAAATAATTGTGGCTGTCGTATATTTATGACAAGCACTATATATATATGTACATATATGTATGTACGATTTGCACGCGCTGAGTGACAATGCTGACAACGATGAGTGTCTTTAAATAGACATATTTATCCTTAGAACGTATATATATATACAT